GCTCCCACGTGCCGCTTTGCGTGAGGCACTGAGGAGATGGTTTTATATGCTTTAAAATTCGTGCGAGTTACATAGTTTCGTGCATCAATTCTTTCTCGACATCATCTATCGACTTCCTGAGTTCCACTTACATTATCATTTCTTGCTATTGTACAAATAACGAAATAAGAATGACTTGCAACAGTTTGATAAAGTACGTTTGTTAATGTCAGTTTTTACGGTTACATAATTTCGATAAAACATAATTTGTAGGCATTTAGAACTGATATATTGCAACGTTCATACTGGTGGACGACTGCAAGCTTTAATGGACATTTTACCCACCTGGTTTAGGTTCGTTTAGGCCATGGGTGTAATTCCTGTTACATGTTACTTCACGGCGTTGGTCCCCTTGTGTTACGACCTTTCCAACGATTCCTGCGATATGTCGGGCGTTATTGTGGCAGTGATTGACATCATTGCTCGTGTACGTGGATTGAGCGTTCGGTTTACGCACGGCTGGAATCCGACTTTGTGCGCCTTGCAATTACGCGGCCTTTGTGCATAGTAATGCGCTCGACCAGTCGTAACTTCGTACAGCTCCTATCTCCCCCTCTGTGTTTATTCCGTCAAGCCTGTCCTTGTCTGGCAGTACTTCATTGTGAAAAGGCAGTATAAGATTGGTTTTATGCCGTTGTTTTTTTTTTGAAAGTCACTGCCAAGGTCGTGTAATCAATCTTTTATGGAATTTCTATCTCATGGGCAATATCTCTTTCGCCGGTTTATGTACCCATCTGAGCGTGTCAGTCTTTATGCGCGGACACGAAGTCTCCCGCCTCGTGTTTTCCTCACGTTCTGGCACTGTCTACTCTCTTTTGTTCAATCCAACAAAATTATCATTTTATAGTAGACATCGTTTCCTGTATTTTTATTAAACTCGCATTCAGGGATCTTTCTTTCTAATATTTATAGTTTTTTTGTTCGTAGGACGTTTCCTCGTATTTTCCCCCTTTGCTATTCTACTTCCATTGTACTATTGTGTGGGTGCTTAGTAGCGAGAAATGCGTCCGTTCATCCGTCTGTGGTCAACGCAAGCGCCGAAACCGTTCAGCCAATTTTTTACAAAATCATATTCCTCATTGAATGAACTCGAGGCCCTGTGAGTTTGAAACATGTCTTGAGTTCTTGAGATAAAACTCCAAAAATATTTTAAAAATTTTCTCAAAGAGGGTTTGAAATTTGGATCAAACTGTGTCATCTGATAGTGTAGAGGACTTTTAAAAGAACGGTCGTCCTCCTACAACTACAATATTGAAGATACAGGTTTTTATTAATGAAGTCTGTTCCTTAAAGACAGATCTTGAAATAAGGCCGTGTACAATTTTTCCAAAATATGAGTAGTTTTCGTGTGATTTATCCTAAAAAATAGTCCATTTTCAAACAAATATTTTCTCAACAATGGCTCTAACTTTTTACCTCTGATATAGAAAAGGACGGTAAAAAAATGTTGCTGGTTCCGTTTTCGGTTAACTCTCTGAACCTTTCACAACTTTCTTAACCTTTCGCAAAAAGAAAAAAAAAAACATTGTTATAATAGTGTCAATAATGAAGATTTATTTTTTAAATAAAATCTGCTCTAAAACATTAGATCATTAAAAAAATCTTGAGATAAATCTATTTAGTGTTACTAAGTCCATTATTTGTCATATATGCAACAAAAGTGACATTTTCACTTAGGATCGGAGTTTAGAATAGACACAATACGTTTAGTTTGCAGTGTTTCAATCAGGTTGATTTAGAGAGATTTGCCCACGGTAACGGAAAAATTAGAAGTACAGGGTTTGCATTATAATAATCACAATGATAGATTTTTTGTTATTTTACAAAAGTTACAAATAACATGAAATAGCCAGTCTGGTGCCGCAGGGGCTTAGGGCAGATGTGCCCAAATACGCAGGCAGTAAGTCTGTGAATTGATTTTTGTTTGTGGCATGGGTGGTAGCCCTAAGTGTTTCTATTTTATACCCTAATTCTTTCATAATCCCTTTCCCTGGATGTTAACTATGTGAGAGGTGTGATCACTGCTTATATAATTGAAGAACTGGTTCCCTACATCAAGGACCACAATACAGGTCCGAGAATGGCATAAGGGCTACGGTGTGATGATCGGGGAACACAAAAGGGTCTTTAGGATTGGTTCTGCCCTGGTAGTCCCTCAGGCGCCGATGAACTGTATCTGGACGGGGCAAAATCGGAAAGAAAACCCCCGACTCTTAGGGAAATAACTAACGCGAAGTACTGTGTGACATTTGGTAGCACTTTAGTGCCTTTGCGCTGTTGGGCCTTTTCCGATGTGTCACACGTGAGCACTCTATTTAGATCCCTATGAAAATGAGCGACTAATTCAGATCTGGTGTTGCCCAGCGCGCGATTCGCTGAGAGTGTATTCCTAGAAAAGGAATGAATTGTATCAATTTTGTGACTTCAAAGAAATTTTATTTAGATCTCCGTCGCGGACAGCTCCTTGCCCTCACCAATGTAACAGATCGTGTAAAGGTCTCCAAACTACGTCCCCCAAAAGACATGTCAGCCGCCTCCTTCTCTTATGAGGTTTCATCCGACTAGGAACGCCTCAAGTGAGCGGTGGATAAATTCAGAGGTGGCGATGTAGAAGAGACTGGTTTAAAGGAAGATGATGACTTGTAGCATTGAGAGATCTCGGGCGTATAAAGACGGTTGAACGGGTAACAGAGCTTGGATAAATAAAACGCAGGGGAAATTTAGAAAGTGTCACTTGATATTTAACTTCTCTCTATTGGAGATATTGTGATTACTTGCAATTTGAGTCGTCTTGAGAATCTTCAGTGCATGCATGCATGCACATTTTCAATCATTAGTGATAACTAGGGCTGGTTGACACAAGTTAATAGTTTTTTATTTTTTACGAAATTTTCATATGGTTTTGAGTTTGTCCATATTAATGGATACTATATTTATTTAGCTACCTGATGGTATTTTTTTATTTGTGAATGTTCGACTGTCGAACTTTTAGACAGGTTACAAGTTATCAAGACAAGATATGTCAACAGATCTCACTTGTTACGTCACCCTTTGGTAGTAAATTAATCATAAATAGAACAAATTAAAAATTTGCCTTCTTAAAGCAAGGGATCTATTTATAAAGAGGTATACAACTAAATTGCCCATTGGGTTTCACATAAATTAGTGCAGAAAGAATATTGAGAAAACTGCGAAAATATTCCTAACTGTTACCCCTGCTAATGCTTTTACTCTAATAAATTAAAAAA